CCGCATGCGTTTGACTTGAAAGCGAGACCATTACCACGAGGCCACGGTGGGAAGCTCTTATAGGGAGCGAAGCAAAATTTTCGCGCCAACCGGATGCAAACCCGCATGCGTTTGACTTGAAAGCGAGACCATTACCACGAGGCCACGGTGGCACTGCCGAGGCATCGATCAGCAGCGCTTACGAGCCAGAACTCAAACTTTGACCACCCAGATCTCGTCTGGGAGGTCCCCGTAGCACTTTTAATCTGCATATTCGTAATCAGCATTCGAGGCTCTATCGATGTACCTAGGTCTCCATTCGAAAGTTCCATGGGAAGTTCAAACCATTACCCTTGTAAGTAGTGAAATAAGCGAGGTAGCTGCGAATTTAGCGTGCGTTCATACTTTACGTCAATGTTTTGGGTGTCCGGCAGCGTTTTGAACGCTGCGAGCGACTGGTACCAAAGACACCAAGTGTATCGATCCAGAGTTTTGAATGTACGCTAGTGTCAGCGACTTTGTATTCGTCAGTGGCGATAGAATGCATAAGTATCGACCTAGCCGGCATAGGCTGACGTACGTTCACAACGCTCACGCAAAGTATGAATGCATAGTTGCGTATGTTGGATTGATCAGTTTTCATCTCTGTTTGCTATTTGAATATGTGCATTTTTTATTGAGGTGACAGTTAAATCAACGGCGTTATTTTCAAGTAACGATGCTACTGCCTCTGCACGAAATACAGCCGCCGCTGTAAGCTTACCACCGACTGTTTGCGTCTTCGACGGTGATGTGGACATTGTACCAATGGAAATCAGCCAGATACCCACGGGTACCTTCTCCGCGAATGCACTCTTTGCTGCTGGTCCCGCAGACATCAGTCTTCGTCAAGTTTCCCTCGTGAGCGCTTTCGTATTTCAATTTGACGTCCATTTCCGGATTTTAATTCGTGTTTGCAGGATCCCATGCCAGATTATATGTATGGGAAATTGTCCGAAGAATCGCAAATGGCTGACGCAGAGTTACAAGACCTGCCACGTCCGGGTGCATTTTATGCTGCACGTATCGACGATCGCTGGGAACGAGTGCAGTGCGTTCGTGCCAGTAAAATAGGTGGTTGATTTTTGACTTCTCCCCTAAGTGAATCTTTCAGCTCACTCACTTTTTATTGCAGATAAATCAGCTTTTTGTGTGTATTTAATAGATGTCGGAGCCTTCCATTACGTGAGAGCGGATGCGCTAAGGAGGCTCAACGCGAAAACTCCATTCCGAAAGATGCTTATGTTCAAATGCAAAGTAGGTTTCACATCACCTACTTGATCTCCCTCTTGAACCCGAATAGTCTACTGCAAGCCTTCAAATGAACAAAAAATTCGGCACTCTTTCGCTGTTACTACTCTAAAAACTCAAGGAATGTACCAGTGAAACTAAGCTCACAGAGGTTATTCAGCGCCCTGATCACGACTATGGCATTCATTTTGGATTTGGCGCTATTTCGTGCCAAGTGATGCCAATTTAGAGTCACCACCTTTCCCACCAAAGTCGATGAAAACTTGTATGCATTGATTATTTCAAACTGTTATCACGAATGTGACATCCGTATTTTTTTCGCAGGCTCCCCTTCGCGCCAAATAGGATTTACTAACGTTTCCCGCTAATCCCTTCACAAAGCAACCTACTCAGAAAACCTCCTATGAAAAACGCATGAAGTCAAACTATATAGTGCTAGCGCAGACGCAAAGATGGGCCTTGCTATCTGGTGAATTACAGCGCACATAGTTACGTTAACATGATGGAGTGTGATCGACCTCGGAGGGGGTGAAGGAGCGAGCACCGCGAAGAAACTTTGTCCCTCGCGCCCTAAGGCTAAGGCTGTGTTCTGTGAGAAAGACGGCCGCTGGCTGGTGGACCAAAATTGCTTGATGTAAGGGTCAGACGAATACGAATTACTTCCGCGGCCCAAACCAACGTCACATCCCAAAGAAGGGCGTTCGTGGAGAGCGCTAGCGTGATTTTGCCGTCACCGCCGGAATTTTTTTCGTAAAACAACAGTCGGCGTCTTAGGGCGCCAAATGGCATTCATTGTGCTGGCTAAAGCGCGGCCAAGTGCGCGCATTCTATTGTATTGACATGTCACAAGCAAAACATGTAAAATAAAATAAAAACAAGTTTCGAACATCCAGCAGTAGGTAAAACAACCATAACGTAAAAATTATTCAATACAATCACCAACATGTTTCTTGAAAGTGGAATACTTTAGAGGGAATATATTTGAACGCAACAGAGAATTGAAGTAGGAGCACACTCTACTACTGAAAAACTTCGACCTATACCTAGATCTAGCCGTGTTGATAGTCAATCTAAACGGAACTTTGTGACCAGTATCTATGTGATTTGCAGCGTTACACGCTACAAAGGTTCAACTTAAGCAGCTGGAAGAATATTACCGCAACTGGGGACTCAAAAATGCTGTCCTCCTGTCTGATGTTGGCTCTTTATAGCAGCAGCACTACATTAAACAGGTATCCAGCAGCGCTGTGTCGTACCCACTGTGCTGTTCCACGAAGGTTTGGATTATATGCGGTGAAAGGTGATCTTCAATTTTGTTTTTTGCAAGATCGTGAAACTTGAGCATTTTGGACTGATTATTTCCCGTCATTTCGCATATGTTTCATATGTTGCAGCATAAGGACACAAAATGGTGAACTTTCACAAGCGATCTACTGCCTGAGCTGCAGCAGAATCATGTCGCGCAAAGAACCGCGCCCGTTGCGTCCGCTTGTACACAAAACACGCGCCACTGACAGCCGCCGTTTACGGAATAACTGGGATGATAAGATGATTACTGAGGACTGCCTCTAAATCCAATGGAGCATATACGTGGAACTGCTCGTCATACGGGAAAACCAAAAAGAATTCGGCAAGCGATACGCAAGCATAAAGAAAGCAGCGATCGAGGCGTTTAACCCAATAGCCTATTTGGAAAGAAAGCCCCGCGATCAACCCTACGTGCACGAAACGGTTACAATTGTATGCTCTCAATCCGGATGCTCTCTCGCTGCCGAAGTCTAGAGATGGGGTGTGTAAGCAACAGAATCGTCCGGTGCAGATTGACGCTGGCGACTGCGCAAATCATGTGAACCACATAAACATAGGGAGAATCACGGCCTTATCTGATTTCTTTTGTATCTGTTTATTTCCTGAAGTTGCGTTTATGGAACCGCCAAAGGTTTACATATCTTAGGAAAACATCAATTTGGGATTTTCAATGCATTGATAAAACCTGCTAAAATGTTGCGGAAGTGTACGACTTGTATGATCAATTGCTCTAAATCGGCAAAGCATCGGCGTAGCAAAATGCACGTAAGTGGGTGTCCAGCTAACCTCCTTCGTAAAACCTCGGCATTTGTTGTAACACTCGATAAATTCCTCGGTGCACACGAGGTTGGTAGGTGGAACTTTGTAATTAGGTCATCCCATTCAAAAGTGCCGTCGGTTTTTTTTCGAATAAAACAAAGAGAATAGATAAAAAAGTAATATTTTGGCTCCAAGTTAGGTAAATCCCTCCTTCACCAATGACCGCTGCCCAGTGCTCCGAAAGCCTTTGGACCTCTGGTACCTTCGATTTTTCACAAGTGCGAGTAAACTGATGTTGATGCCAGTTTCGGCGAATGACAAAACATTGTAGCGTTTGCCGTCGGAAAGTACCCTCAACTGAACAGAACAGTTGGAATCGAACAGCTTTTATGTTTGAGGCGAATGGGCGATTGAACCCCCAGGTCATCAGTATTGTTTGTGCTCCCAGCCACTTGCATTACAATAAATTTACTCGGGCTGGCAGTATGCAGAGCAGCCGGTGGCCTTCCTTCTAGTTTTGTGTGGTACCAATCCATTATGTCGAATCTGATGCTTTAAGGAACAGGCAATATACCACGGCAGACTACAATTTATTCTCCGTAGTAGAGCTCGCCGTGAAGCGCACGTTGCTAGAATACATTTCGTATGATGAACAGCCACTGCACCCAGTAACGCCCTTCATGTCAAACTTCGGGCGCGGCCTCATCGTCGTATCATGACAAAATTGACGAATGTGAAGTTTTGGATCCAAGACCACCCAAAATTTGAGATTCTGCATCTGGGGCTGGGGGATGCGTTTTCACAGTCGTGAATGACATCTCATGCTGAGAACATTACTGCTAGAGGTACAGAATAGGTACTGCGTTCGTGCTTCTACAAGAAAATTAGGTACCCATGCGCATACCGTCTTGACCATCCTCAGTTTATCGGACATAACTCGGGCAGCAGTTGCAGCTGGAATGTCAGACTCGCGGGGAAGCTTGACAATAGTCCAGGCTCTGGGATCAGGCATTCAGCACTTGACTTCGTCCACCCTTTTTTCTGTGGCAAGAAGTGAACATTATGAGGGACCCATCCACGACAACCAATTTTTCCCCTGTCTTCCTTCCTCGCTTCTGAACAAACCCACCTTTTAATATCGAGAAAACGCATTACAACACGAACTACGTCGAATTTGAGCAGCGCACTTCCCTCTTATGACGTCTGATTTGAAAATCCGGCGCTGTTTTTCACCACTCGGGCTTCTTTTCAATTTCTCGAGAACTTCTTCTGTGGGTAGGTTCGCCAAATTTCACAGATACACAGCTGAAGGTACTAGCCTCCAAATGGTATAGTAGCCCGCTTCCCTATCCCCTTTGCTTTTCTGCCCTTATTATTGTCCACACTTTGAATGGCGATGACCCAATTTATAGGCCTGACGTTTTGACTAGATCGTCATTCATACAGAGACCATAAACGGTGCCTCATTGTTCGAAATTCGCTCTCTACAAGCGCCACAGATCTTCCTTCCCTAAACGTTTCTGACAGAGCACAGAAGTTTGAGAAAAATCACCCGAAATCCTGAAATGAGAGGGAAAGACTCATCAGTCCACCACAGCGAGAGCGGAATAGCCGCTCAGTTAGTTGTTAGTACAATTAGTGAGACTTACTGTGCCAATCTTGTATAGTGACTATCGTGAGAAATGGCACGTCCCACCGCTCACATCAGTAGCTCGCAGTGCGACACAAATGGCAAGAGGTCATTTGTTATGGATAAGCACTCATTGCGGTTGTTCATTCTAGGATTTCTTGCAGAAATCCAGAATGCTTCTAGCGCTTTTCTGGCAGAAATCTCAGTCTCGCGTGCCAGTATCGTGCACTTCACATCAAAGTCGTTTCCGCTATGCTCTTCGATCAAATGCTTGCCGAGTGGTGTTCTTATATTACCACGCTTTTTGCCAGCAAGATGTTCTTTGTTGCGTTCTGCAAACGGTCTTCCAGTCTCCAATATGTAAGTTGCGTTACATGTAAAACATCCAATTTGATAGATTACACCACTTTTGGCGCAATCTCCACTTGAAGCTTGTGGACAAGTAAACGCACTGCTCTGCACTGCCTGTAGTAGAATCTGTTTTCGCACCAGTTGGCGTTTCATGTTATTACTAGGAATACGAAAAATACAACATCGTTGTCCAACTGTGCACGGAAAAGACGTACTCTGAATTGCAGCAGTCACCATCACGCCAACTGATGCGAAACAGACTCTAGGACAGGCAGTGCATATCAGAGCAGTGCCTTACTTGTCCACAAGGTTCAAGTGGAGATTGCGCCAAAAGTGGTGTGATCTATCAAATTGAATGTTTTACATGTAACGCAACTTACACATTGGAGACTGGAAGACCGTTGGCAGAACGCAATCAAAAGAACATCTTTGCGTCAACAAGGCGTGGTAATATAAGACATCACTCGGCAAGCAATTCGATCGACAGAACGCAGCAGGGCGGAAACGAGTTTGATGTGAAGTGCACGATCCTGGCATGCGAGACTGAGATTTCTGCCAGAAAAGCGCTAGAAGCATTCTGGATTTCTGCAAGAAATCCTAGAATGAACAACCGCAATGAGTGCTTATCCATAATGAATGACCTCTTACCATTTGTGTCGCACTGCAAACTATTGATATGAGCGGTGGGACGTGCCATTTCTGACTTACTTACTATATACAACATTGGCAAAGTAATCCCACTAATTGTACTAACAACTAATTGAGTGGGTACTTCCGCTCTCGCTGTGGTGGACTGATTGAGTCTTTCCTCTCACTCGGGATTTTCGGGTTTGCTCAACAGTCTGTCATAAACGTTAGGGAAGGGGAGATCTTTGGCGGTGTAGAGAGCAATTTTCGAAACCATGAGCAAGTTTTAAGGCCTCTTGTTATTTCGCCACACGACACTCCTATGCTCCGAATACGTCAACGCCTCTGATGAAGT